AAAAAAAAAAGGGCTGGGATATAGTTCGGTGGTAGATCATTCTGGGTTCAATCCCCAGAATTGAAAGAAAAAAAAAACTCACAAAAACACTGTTTTTCTTCTTTAGCATTTTTATTCATAATTTACATTTGCAATTTATAATCAAATAACCCAGTGATACAAGTAGATATGCTTTTTTTTTCCATAAAGATTTGACAGTTTATGAGACTTTGACAACTACTAAATTCTGTGTTAGCATGACAACAGTTATAGACAACATATATAAACAAAACTGCATTCTAATAAGACTGTGCACACTGAAATTTGAATTTCATGCAATTTTTACCTGCCACAGAATATTTTATTTTTCTTTACCACTTACAATGTAGGGGCCATTCTTTGCTTATATTCTATACAAAAATTTTTAGTGGTCTGGATTTGATCAACCCCTAGTGTAACTGATGGAAAGATGCATGGCAGCATTTATTAGGCATCAAATTATCTGGTTGTCTTAGAATTTGAAAAATTATAGTGCTAGGAAAGATGTAAAAATACTGCAGTCATGTTTTGTTTGTCTGGAAACTAAGATTGGGCATATAGGAGATTTTTTTTTTCACTTTTCCTGATTATATTTCTCGCAGCAACATGGTGCTCTGACCAAGCTGGGGTTAATAACCTCAAAGGGCAATATGACATTCAGAAGGTAAAGGAAGATCAATTCTGCTTCTGAGCACTTGCTTGGAGCTATTCTGTTGGTACTTTATCGATGTTTGTTTTCAGTGTGTCCAATTGTGTAAATGACATACAACCTCATGAGAATGTTTATTGTGAACTCCAGTTACCTGGGGAAAATACACCCCTGTGTATATAACCATGTGATGTTTCTTATTTCCTTAGATTTTAAAGTCAAAATAGACAATGTGCATTGTCAAACTCCACACTTTTTTTTTTTTTTTTTGGAGTGTGGGAGATCTGAATTTTTTTTTTTTTAGATTTTTTTTTTTTTTTAAAAACAGAGTGAGAGAGGAGAGAGAGAGAATTTTTAATATTTATTTTTTAATTCTCGGCGGACACAACATCTTTGTTGGTATGCGGTGCTGAGGATCGAACCTGGGCCGCATGCATGCCAGGCGAGCGCGCTACCACTTGAGCCACATCCCCAGCCCCAAACTCCACACTTTTATAGCATACACTGAGCACAGAAAGTGAAAAGGACTGAAACCCAGCATCCTGGTTCCCCATATAGTACTTATTTCACTATAGGAGCTGACCTTTACCAAGTGGGCTTTATTATCTGCATTTTAATAAATTTGTGGTTTATTTGTTTAAAAAGCCTGGCTGAGCCTGGTGTGGTGGCACATTGCTGTAATCCCAGTGACTCAGAAGGCTGAGGCAAGAGGATCACAAGTTTGAGGCCAGCCTCAGCAATTTAGTGAGGTCCTAAGCAAACTTAGAACCTGTCTCAAAATAAAAAATAAAAACGGCTAGTGGTATAGCTCAGTGGTGAAGCACCCCTGAGTTAAATCCCCAGTGATAATAATAATAATAATAGCCAAACTGAAGGAAAAAATGAAGGAGGATAAACCCCACTGAAGAGTTTTGACATTACTAAAAAGAGTTAAAATTGGCAAGGCAGAGTTTCTGGAAACCTCTCAGTTCTTCCAAGGGATTTTGCCCTCATCTGTGGTAGATGTCACTAGGTAATCACTGGCATCTGTTGAGAGGGAGGGGTATAGGCACAGTGCTTAGATTTATTTCAGGTAGAGATAACTGAGAGAGGGAAGTAGAGATAGAACTGTTGACAAACACCCTTTATGACTTCATTTAATTGTTCTTAAATTGCTAATTTGAAAAAAATACCTTGGAAAGGGAGCCTGTTATTGGGGAGGGGGCAAATAGAATAAAGTTTTGCCACTAACTTAACTATTTTTATCTTTCTGCAGTCAGCATCTGAGGTTCTATAATTCTAGCCTCTTCCATCCCAGACACTTCTATATACCGTTTGGAGCAGGAGTAGCTGAATGTGTCCAAATATCCATGACCCTTTTTACTGATTTTCCACCTGAATCTTTTTCCTTTTCTCCAGATTCTCAAAGTGTGGTCATATCACCTGGAAACTTGTAAGGAATGCAGTTTTCACGAGCCACCCCTTACCCCGCTAGACCAACCGAATCAAAAGACTTGCCACCAAAATCGCTGTTAACAACCATCACTGTCCCTGTCCCTCTATTCCTGTTCCTCAACCCATGAGTCTGGATGCATGTAAAAGGTTTGAGAACTTCTGCACTAGACATTGAAAACCCCAAAATACAGACTTTGCCTTCAAAGAAGTTGCAATCTATTTAGTCAGCTAAGTTATAAATTTGCTAGTAAAATTTTTGATTTAAAAAAAAAAAAAAAAAACTTTCAACATCTTCCCCTCAGGATAAAATTTAAATCTTAAGCTCTGTTACAAGGCTCTGCAAACCTGTTCCCAGACCTTTGCAGCCAAATCTGTACTCTTCCCATTCAACTATAGTCACCATAAGTGGGCACTTTGCCCATTCTCTGTTGGGCCTTTAGCAATGCTCCCTCTAACTGGAACCATCTCCTCCCATATCTTTATCCCTTAGGTCTTGGGTGGTCAAGGCCTGCCTGACAATGTCCAGAAGCTACTTCTTGGCATTTGGTACACTTCTGTCCACCTCTCCCTCCCAGTATGGTACTCCTGCACTCATCTGTGTTTTGTCCAGAGATTCTCTTACCCTTTTTAAGAGTTATAAGGTGGAAATTGATATATTAACCAGGTCTCAGTAAATTACCTTTCCTCTGTCCC